TCTCCTTTCTGTTTTGCGAAGAAAAGGAGCTGAACATTTTCTTTTGTATTGATTTCCCCTGTATTCCTTTTTAATCATTGCCTTCTTTGTATGTATTGTTTTGTACAATATGGCAACACATGTTATGTGTCAGTTTGCAACCATGTGTTATTGTAAATATGTGTGAAATTCAATGTAATTTACAAGTTGATAAAAGTTTAATTAAAGTGATTTATATACAAGATAAAATAAAAGAAAAGTGTGTAAAGTATTAAGTACAGTGTTATGTGCATTTATATATATAAAAGTATGCACAAATGCTTTTTTGTTAAGGAAACCAAGTGGAACGACTTAAGAAATTTTAACAACAAATAACTTATAAACAATGATATTATTTATATTTTTTAGTTATACATGTTTTAGAGGATACCTCCCTTAACATCCTGACCAAGTTTCATTTGTTAACTCCACCTGGTTTTCTTAAAACACAAGGTGCGGCTGACTACTAAAGCCCACCCGTTTAATTACCACCGTTAAATCAACCACCAGAACCATGGCGGTCCTTGCTTTACGGCGATAAACAGTATAAAGACAATTCTTGATAAATGCCTACAAATACAATTGTAAGACATCTAACGGATCATTATTGCCACAACTTTTTCACGGAAATAACTCTTTCTTTAGGTTATTTAAGATGGCAATGGAGAATATGCCTTCTGCCGATCACAAAAAAAAACGTGAACGTGAAATGTTTGTGAAAACGTTGGACCAAATGTTTAAATAAAAAAATAATTTTGGGCAGAACGAGGTACGCCGGGTGTTCTAGTTACCCAATAACCACAGTCTCTAACGTTAGTGAAAAAGCTTGATTTTACATTAGAGTTCTCAAGTATTTCTCTGTTAAAAAGTATAAGAGAATTCGGTTTGAGAAGGATTAGGAAAATATTAGAAACGCGATGTTACGTTAAATGGTAGAATTATAAACTTAAATGCATCAAGCGGTTAAGTCACAATCTGGGCTTACCTTAGATTCCTCGAAGTCGTTAATTAGGTTTTGTGATTCTTCACCCTGATCATTATTGCGCAAGAAATCCATAGCCTCGAAATAATACAGAGAGGGCGTTGCATTTGGAGTTATGCGTTTTAATTCTCGTCGATAGTTTGATCGAAGGCTATTAATCTTTTTCATAACTTCTTTTCTGTCAGCTTTTGGATATTTTTCCTTATATTTTGCAAGCATAATGTCATACTGTATTGCTCTTGAATTGCGATTGCTATAATCATAATGTTTGAAGTCCCATAACGACGGTAAGGAGCGATATAGTTCAATAAACTCAATAATAAATTGTTTTTCTTCATCGTTTGGATAATACTTTGTCATAATCTTTTTGTCTTTATCGAATTGACCAGACTTAAGGGGTGGCAGGGAAATGCTTCCACGGTTATTAATGTTTTCAAATGTTTCCTATCAACAAAGCATTAAAAAATTTTAAGTGGATTAATTTTAATTGGAAATACTTACTTCATTCTCAGTTTCGCTTAAAAATTCATCTGATATATCTTCTTCTTTCATCTCCAAGGAACCTTCTACATCCATTGTGTCCAACTCTATTTCAACCCTTTCAAATCCCCTTAGAGCATAATCCTTGTCAACGCTATCCTGTTTACATATATATACATATATATAAAATGGTTTACATCCAATCCACAGTTTTCAAACGGTAAAATTATGTATAAATTTCCCCTCAGCTTAGTACCTGATTACTGTTTTCCCACTGATTACCGACCTCCTCGGCTCGTAATTCAACTGGGAGTTCCGGTGACTTTTGTCTTGACTTTGCTTTAGTAAATTCAGCCAAATGGTTTCCGCACATGTGGCGTATGAATCTATCCAATTGTATAGCAGTATAGTCACAAAATTCACAACTGAGAAAAAACTCCTCTTTCCCTACGGCTAGCAAAGTCGAAATCTCCCCACATTTCTTCAAGCCCCAATTCTCCACAGTCTCATACACTATAGCCATTTTGTAGGTTAAAGCTTAAATTTCTAATTACTGACTCTTTTTAAAGCTTTCCGTCAATGTAATTAAAAATGTTCACACTAATCTTCCATAGGGATTTCGGAAAAACATCGATGCATCGAAAATATCGATGTTTTGCTTCGATGCATCGAAAATTTTCAACTCGATGTATAAATAGTCGATTTATCGATGCATCGATGTATCGATGTTTTCTGAAAACTGACATCTACGCTATACTGAACCGTCATTCCAGTTTTTCAATTGCTCAAAAAAAAGAAGTGGCATTGACCAAAAAAATTTAAACGGCAGCAAGAAGTTCCGTTAGAAACATTNTATTGCATCAGTTATGATTAATCAGGGCTGATTGATTTATACATCAATTTGATTAATCATACGTGACTATTATTTACATCAGCTTTGATTGATCAGATCTGACTGATTTATACATCAGACTGAGTCATCAGATCTTAGTGAGTATTGTATCAGTTATGATGGTTAATACCTGACAAAATTGTCCATCAGCTCTTATTGGTAAGATCTGAGGAATCTTTCCATACGAGCTGAGTTGATTAAATAAGGCGAGTGAGTAGTGCAAACATATGTTGCTAATATTTACAAATACGGCTAAAACCCACATGTTAAAATGAGAGGCAAAATCACACCTACAGGAAAGTATCCATCAGATTTTTCAAAACCGCTGTAGAAACCTGATGTATAATCTGAGGGGTTAATACTCCAAGGCTGATACTCAGATGATTCATCAGTGATCACTCAGTTGTCCCGTAGGGCAATTATATCATACACATCTTATTAAAATGGGATTATTTAATCGATACAACTACGCGAACTCCAAATTTATACCATCACAACGCGCCGATCACACGTTCAATATATGATGTAATATATAGATCAAGAGCCCAATTCATGGTATTCGAAATACTGATGGATCGTGGGTGCTTGCGGCACATTCAATATTAGCTCTAATCCAGTACTCCATGAACTTACAGGTTTTTATAGAATTTTTTTTTTGTGGAGGGTGTTGCGCATTTTCTTCCATATAACACATGATCAAAATATTTTTTTACAACAAGTCAAACGACTTCTGCAACAAATGAACTGCGGCGTCTTGCTTTGCCAACCGTCCCAATGAGCTCTCATGCTTTCGGCAACCGTTAAAATTCCGCGTTTGCTAGCTTCGTGAACGAGCATTCGGAATACTGTTTTGCCGAAGTCAATATCAGCATGAGCTGTAAAGCTGGGCGCATATTGCATCCGATAGGCCGACCGATTTCGGCCGAACAATTTGACCATCCGAATTGATGCGCACACTTAACCAGATTATTTGCCGACCGTATTTGTACAATTTTGAAATATTTTGAANCAGTAATTTATTTCAAATTTTCTACAATTTTGCTAATAACATATTTTGTTGTGAAACATTATCTGAAAAATCCTATGCGAATCGATGCATCGATGTACATTTCGATGCATCGAATCAAAGACAAACATCGATGTATTTTTGCCACTGACAACCCTAATCTACCAACTCCAATGTTCGACATCNATTGACATACTCTAAACATGTGATTTTATATGTAATTTTGTTGTTTTTGCGCCCAATAAGTTAATTTTTCGCAGTCCATTTTGGTACCTTTCACCTGACATCGGACGAGAAAAACAAACATGTTTGAATTTATCGTCACTGACGGACGTCACCGGCCGATGTCGGTTCGGTTATCGGTTTATGTGTGAGAGCGCCCATATAATCACAAGTGTTTATTCATGTCGCCCGCATATAGCCGATATCGGCCCATGCCGGCTGCAGTGTGCACGTAGCGTTATAAGTATCGTTCACTTGTGGTGGCTGTATTTGCAAGACAGCACGCTATGCGCTGGGGTTCAGTCATCCTCTAATTTCGTTTAGGTATCGATACTCATTATGCAATAATACAAGTTGTTATCGGTTGGCAACTTCTCGCTCTAATTCCGCCATATTGACTGCCTTAGCTGAAACAGTGTTACTTCTTTAACAATTTTTTGCCTAATAATTTAGTTGCATTTTTATTTTCTCTGTATACACATTTTGTTTCCTCAAAAAGGTATTATATCTTATTTTATTTCATTTCATTGCGAATATACTATAAAAAAGCTAATTTTGTTTAGAAGAAAATATGAAATCTTATATTTTCCCCCAAATGGGGATTCATTTCTTCCCGTTTTTCTTCTTATTCTACTGAGCTAAGGCAGTGTCAAATCGAGCTGTCACAACTGATACCACCTTGCATTATTGCATCATGATCGATACTACTAAGCCAACGCCGCTGCTCAGTATACAAAGCAGTATTGATTGAATTTGCAATAGTTGGCGTTCAACGCAAGCCAGTCTCTGGTATAGACATACATAGATTACTAAAAAATAGAAACAGATCCACATTAACTGCAATCAACATATGTACGTATGTATGTATTTACATATGCACAAACGCGCGATTAGGTTATAAATATTGCGCCACCTGTTTATCAAAAGCCGAAATATGTACTTACGCAAACATACATACTTTTTGTCTCCTTCCCTCACTTCCAACGCATGCACGTGTTTGTAAAACGATGACGAAGTGATTTTGTATGGGAAATCATTTATGCCCATATATTTGAATCAAATAAACATAGAAGATATCAATCAATACTTCCCGTATACCAAACGAAAGGAAAACTCTTGAATTTTTTATTAAAGAAAACAAAAACAAAATCATTCGAGCGGTTTTCGAGCATTTTGGTAATAAAAAAAATTGCTAATTTTTTCAACAATTTTTTGTCTTAAAATGCTCAATATTGGTTAAATTTATATAAAATCTGTACACGATATTTCTATTGCTCCAAAGACTTTATATTCCAAAAATGAAAGTTATATCTGCAAATCATAAGCTGCTGGAGCACTTCAAAGGCTTAAAATTACCCCAAAATAAGCCAATGTTTACCGTTATTTTTACAACCGAATTGGTTACTTACAAAAGTGAATCTGTCGTTAGGTCTTTTATCTGTCTGTTTATCTTTGAAACGCCACACTCTTCTTTGAAATCGCTTCATTAGTTCTTGAGCAATAAGCGTTTTCGTGAAGCTCTAAAAATTACAACTACAACATGTCAGCATAGCCTCCATATCGAAACGTAAGACGTATTCTATGTCAAAAGCACCCTAATGTACATATGTAGGTACATATATAGTTAGAGCAAAAAATATCAAAGGGTACCTAAATTCATTTATTTTGTAAATAAGAGCTTCAATGAAATTATATAAACTAAAATGCATACATGAGCCATTCTTTTTTAAGTCGGACGGATTTCGTAAAAAAAAAATTATGTCATGGCTCCGATTCGCTTAAATTTTTTTTATGAAATAAGCTAACAAATAAGCTAACACGTATTCGAGGAATTTTTTGTTTATCTTTTTTCTTCGGAGATATGATCTGTCAAAGTTTGCATTTTTTCGTGATTCTGACTAATCATGTACTTCTTCAAATCGTTGTATCTCGGGTTCTGCTCATCGTAGAGACTTCATCTTAACGTCGTTGTATAGCTAAAGAATTAATATTTCTATATATAAGATTTTCACGATTGTCCTAAAGCTAACTTAGCTATTAACAGCTGAACTTTTTGAGGTTGATTTACATAGTGAAGACCAGTAAATTAGGGATTCAAAGTTATACCATCGTAATCCTTGTTTAATTCTCTATAAAAAACGTGGTTCAAAAAATGTGGGGTTTTCAAGAACAAACCCCTAGAAATGGGCGTGGCGATTGCAGGACTAAAATTAGCAAAACGCAGATTTTATTGGGGATTTCGGCAGAATATTGCTTCGTTAACAATAGTTGTTCCCCAACTTTTTCAACTTTTTCTTGCCGTACAAATATTATTTCTGGATAGGTATTCTATCGAATACCGCAATAAAATTTTACTGTTTGCAAAAACTCGATGTTTAACACCTTACTAAATATATCTCATCATAATTTTTCGAAAATAAATTACAAAAAAAATTTTAATTCTCACAAAATAAACCATCTTTTCATAAAAAAAAAATATTTTAAAAACAGTTCTTGAAAAACCCCAATTTTTCTGAACCACGTTTTTTATAGAGAATTAAACAAGGATTACGATGGTATAATTTTTAATCCCTAATTTACTGGTCTTCACTATGCAAATCAATTTCAAAAGGTTCAGCTGTTAATACGTAAGTTAGCTTTAGGACAATCTTGACCATCTTATATATAGAAATGTTAAGCCCATTTTTTTAGCTTTAAAACGACGTTAAGATGAAGTCTCTACGATGAGCAGAACCCAAGATATAACGATTTGAAGAAGTACATGATTAGTCAGGATCACGAAAAAATGCAAGCTTTGACAAATCATATCTCTGAAGAAAAAAATATGAAAAAATGTCCTCGAATACGTGTGAGCTTATTTCATGTATAGAATCCATACAACAAATTTGAAGCCAATCGAAAGTGTGACACCAAATTTGGTGTCCGATATGAAAAAGAATGTCTCACATAGGTTAACCTACATGCATACATACATATGTACATACATATGTACGTATGAATATTCTTTCTTATTCTGTAGTTTTTATTATGTAGCTATTGTGCTAAATACAGTTTCACTCGTCAATCTTACTGCTTGGCGTAACTAGGGTTGTGCCATGCGACTTCATATGCCCACTAAGTCCAGCATACTGTGCAAACCGTTTATCGCAAATCTTGCATACATATTTCTTAATTTCGGCGTGGATTTGTTTATGCTGGCGTAGATGTTTAGTAGTAGTAAAACCTTTGTTGCAAATATTACAAATTTTGTCTCGCACGTTACTGTGAACGCTCATGTGCTCCTTGTATAAACCTCTGCCAAAAAATGTTTTACTGCATATTTCACACTTGTGGCTAGGCCTGTTCTCATGGCGTCTCATATGCGTGCTAATCTTCGATGAGGTTTGGAAGTTTTTACCACACACATCACAAACATATGGCTTTTCACCGGTGTGTGAACGCATATGGATTTTTATTTCTGTTGTCGTTGCGCAGGGCTTACCACAAACCTCACATTTGTACAAGTAGTCCTGTGCATGACGCCGTAAAT